TAATATTGAAATAAAATATTAAAAGCTAATCAAATTAAAATTTTATACTTGTATAACTATTTTAAAAAATTCTATTATCAGGTTAAAGAGATTATAAAAGTAGATTATAAGAGTAGATTAGAATAGTAAAAAAAAGGCAAAAAGATAATTTATAATTTAATTGCAGATCCACATGTGATCAATAGAAATTATAATTAAGAACTATAGCGCTATGTTTTATAATAAAAAAACTTGGATTTGAAATCTTTATTTCTTCTAATAATTAATATATCAACTACACATATAACTCCAGGAGAACTTATTAAAACTGGTGATATCATTCAAGAGCTTCATTATGGTCTGTATTTACGAGACTGGTGGTTTTTTTCTGATGACAATCTTATCCCTCCTATTCCTATACATTTGGGACTTGAAATTATGATACAACTTAATAAAAAACCTTTTATTATTTGTGTAGTTCGCTATATACATAGCCCTTTACAACCTGAGTACATATGTGAAGGAAGTGGACAAAGCAGTAGTATTGTTACAAGTGCTTCTACTGCAATTATATCTGTTTACCAAATGGTTTTTAGCACTAAAGCAAAATTTTCAGGTCTTGTGTATTTAGGTTTAAATCAGGATAAAACAGCACAAAAATTATTAGAAAATATTACTTTTTATCCTTTTATTATTAAATTAGAAAATATTTCGATTTTTGTTGGATCACTTGGTAAAATCTTATATTCAAACCCAAATAAAGTTGGTTGTCGTTATATGGCATCATTATTTTATAAATATAAAGCAAAACAATCAGTTTTTTCTCAATATATTCGTGACAATTTATATACAATTACAATTTATCAAAATAGCCAAATTATTGCAAAATACAATGATAGTTCACCTAATGCCATTTGGCAACAAACTGGTATTCTAAAATCTATCCCGGGTAATATTTTATTTGCTATAAATCATCCCACAACTTTACAAAAATTGAAACAAGCATATGAAATAAAATTTCTTCATCAAACACCTATACCTAATCAATGCACATATACAGATTGGGATAACAAAATAATTATGGAACACTTGTTTGAATTACATTTAAACAAAGCAGTTAGTAAACCAATTGAAAAATGGCATCAAGTATTTCAATATTGGAAACAGCAAAAGAACAATATAATTGAACTCCATACTCACATCAGAAAAATATATGGACAAGATTATAAATTCTGAAGCCGTGAATTGTGGGCATGGCGTGCAGTATTTTGTGCTGCAGGATGTACAGAAATTACTCCATATAACAAAGAAATTTCAGAGGTAATTATAAGTAAAGCAAAATCTCTATATAATTAATAATCAAGTAATGATAAATTACTATAGCAATATTTATTATCATTTATTGATTATTAATATAATGGCATTCTCAGGTACAAAACGTCATTGAAATAAAAAAAATTTTTAATTAGTGGAATTCACTAAACGAAATTAAAAATTTCAACATATCAAATAGCACAATTCGAATACCATTTGACATGTTGAATTTTTAATTTCGACTAGTGATTGGTTTAATAGTTAACAATTAAGCAAAAAATTTCGAGAAAAAAAATATATAGACCTTTTTTTTTAATAATGCACAATTGTTATATCTGCAAAAAAATTAGGTGGTAAGTTCCGATTAAGGTTTAGACATTCATCATATTAATACTTTCTATAGAATTTTGACATGAAATCAAGAAATTATTATTATATGAATATTGATAACAAAAATTAATATCAAAATTTTGAGAAATTACTATGGAGAAAGATTATCTGTTGCCTAGAATAGTGAATTCACTTAATTAACTAAATAATTTTCTACTAGTTTAAAATTTTTTTAGCACATTGAACTATCGTCTTAAGTTTCTTTCGAATTATAAATTCACCTAAATAATTAAACTATTTTTAATTAGTTTGAGTAATATTTTAAATTATTGCCACATATTTATTCTGAAATTTTTACTATAGACTACAAATACCTTTTTTATATATCAAGATAATAAGTTTCATGTGTGCGCATGATTCTGAATCGTGCGCATTAATGTGCATGTTTTCGAATTATGCGCATTTTATCTCATTAAAAATTTTTTTATTATGTGTGCATTAATGTGCATAATTCAAAAAATACGTAAAATGCACATTCATGCGTATGATTTCAAATCATGCGCATTTTATCTCATCTCTAATCAAGAGCAAAGAGCGGTTCAGCTAATTTCACCGACACTCATTTCGTAGATACAACATTTCACCAACAATCAATTCATCGATATTGTTTTACAGATAGCCAATTTCTAGACAAGCTCATTTCGTAGACAACTTATTTCACAGACAGCTCATTTCACTGACATTATTACCATTAGAATTAGGGTTAGAGGAATTATGAGAAATTAACTTGTTAGCGAAATGAGCTATATATGAAATGAGTTGTCTACGAAATGAGCTTGTCTAGAAATTAGTTGTCTGTGAAACAAACATGTCGGTAAATTGATTGTCGGTGAAATGTTGTGCTTACAAAATAAGTATTGGTGAAATAAGGCGTATCCAATCAAAGAGTTACATGTATACAATTCTAAGATTAAAGATCAATTATTAATAGAATAAAAATATAATATAGGTCGAATTTTGGACAAACGCACCTAATCCTGGAAAAGATCGCGATACCCTTAGAAATCTATATGAAGATGGATTTTTGAATATATCATCGCAAACTTCATCAGATAAAGAAATTATATCACAGGCTTCATCAGATAAAGCACACATATCATTGCAAATTTTCCCAGACAAGATATTTTGGAACTGCTTTCGTGATAGCTATGATGCGAATTCTATAGGAATAGATGGCAAAGTTTGTATATTGTCAATTATTGCAGAAAGCTTTACGTATCAAAAATTAATAGATGAATTAAAAGTGAGATAAATTTATATAATCTTAATATTAATAATCTAGTTATTTAGTCAAAACTTATAATAAAAAATTAGCTTAGACAAATCTTTTATCAAAATTTGAACTAAAAAACCAGATTATTAACCTTTCTACATAAATACCAAATACAACTTACTCTCGTTATAGTGAAGTTCCTGAGCTGAAAAAAAAAATCTTTACTATAGCTTATATCGAGAGAATATGTACTTCACTATATTGAGTTGAAGTTTAATAATTCTGGAATTCAAAAATTCTTCACTATATCGAATCTTTACTATAACAAGAGTTCATATAACATGAGTAAGTTGTATACTGTATAACAAATAATCATAATAAATAATAATAATATCATATAATTAGATATCCCCAAATACAATTAATAATGCTCGAAAATTTTCTCGTATTAATAGACCAGGATGTATTGCGTTAGAAAAACCTATCATTACCCGTTCAAAAATGTCAGTTATCAAAGAAAAAGAGTTTGAATTATTCTTTAATAACAAAGATAATGTAAATATGAGTTCTTATAAAGTAGATCACCAAACAAATTTATCTGTACTTTATTTAAAAGACCAAAAAAATGCGCTTTGGAAAAAGTTTTCTGCCACTTATCCGGATAGAATGAAGCGTACATCTTTCATGGCCCGTTTACAAAATAGTTGTTTTCAATATAGAGAAGATTTAGGAGGATTATGCATGACATGTAATGATTATGGATATCAACCTTTTGAAGATTTGATTGAGATAATTAATTCAACCTTTTCTTATAAAACAATACGGGTTAGTCAAATATAAAAAAATTTTTTTCACATTAGTATTAACATATAATTTTTGTAGGACGATCTAATCAATAAAATGGAATTACTGCGTCGTCATCTAAAACGAAATTATGAAAAGGAATTAGTGATTAATAAGAATGGTACAATTAATC